GACGTTTTGCTTTTATCCAATACAGCAAATGGTTTTGTTTCAGCTTTACCAATAGCTGTTCTTTTTCTTGCAAAAACATTTTCTTCTTCAATTTCTTCTTTTATTCAGGCAAATAAAAAAGGTATTTTTTGTGGAAGAAAATATCCAAAAAAAATTATCTTTTCTAAAAAAGGTCGTTTTAAAATTGGGAGAACAGCTTTAGCTAAATGGTTTAATGGAATTGCTTCTCTAGGTTTGGGTATTTGTGTTGGAATTGTCCCTTTACTTCATACAGACCAACAAAGAGTTAATGCTATTTTTGTTTTGTGTTTAGCTAATGCTTTTGCCGGTAATTAATTTTTAAATTATTTTTTAAACAAAAAAAAATTAATTTTTAAAGGTCTTCACACACCTGGTGTTCAAATAGCCCTTTTACAAATAGCACCAGCCTATACGGGTATAATTACGGGTATTGCTTTTGGTTGTGTTGCTATTTTTAGTATTGTCAATAAAATACTTTCTAATTATATTGTACAGGTACAATTAATGTTTAAATTTAAAAATAAATATTTTAATTTAAAGTCTGGCTCTTTATCTGAATGGACAATTGTTTTTTGGATTGCGGCAGTAATTGCTTTATTACCTGTATTTTTCTTTACTTTATGGGGAAGTGCAGAACGTCAACATTGGGCAAGTACTGGAAGTACTATTCGAAGGAAAAATACTAAAAGAAAAAATAATTTTGGAAAAGTTTTTCCAATGGAAGAAATAAATAAAAAAGAAGCAGCAAATAATTCAGAACAAAATAATATCTTCTATATTAATAAAATTGAAAAGGTAAATTTTTAAATTATTTTATTAAATAGGTATGGGTGTATTTAGTAGTTTGTATTAATATTTATCCTTAATTTAACTAAATTTTATTTTAAAAAATTTTTTCGAAATTTCTTGGAAATTTTTAAATTAATTTTGATAATTTTTTAAAATTCTTGGATAAGTTAGTCAACATTAGAATTTAGAGTATTATGTTAAATAAATAAATAAATATTCTAACAGAATAATAAATTATAAAACTAAAATTTAGGAAATAAATAATTCTGATAATTTGGAAACAAAAACAACAACATTTAAAAAAGAAAAATTAAAAGAAATAAAAATAAATGAAATAGAAGAAGAAGACGAAGAATTAAATATTAATTTTGATTCTGAATCGTTAACTTCTGTTTTACGTTTACAAATGCTTTTAGAAAATAATTTTAATGAAAATGAGGAAGAAGAAGAAGATAAAGATAATATAGAAACAATTAATATAAAGCATTAACAACAACAAAATTTTGTTATTAAAATTTTAAGAAAATTAATTTTAATTGCTCAATTTTAAGACAAAAGAAATATTTTCTCAAATTTAAAACAATTTAATAATTTTTGTCTAAAAATATTTTTTGTATTTATCAATGTCAAGTCATAATACATATATTAACTAAGCGTATTTTCGCGATTCGATTGCATAATAAAACTTTATATTTAATTTTATTTTCTCAAGAAATTAATTTTTTAGCATTTAATTAATTAATATTTTTTAAATCTTTTTTCTTAAAAAATCTTTGTTTTATCCCAATATTTTTATGTCTAATCATAATATTTTTTTAAACTTTCACTTATATTATTACCCAAAATATATTCAATATTTTTATTTTTTAAATTTTCACTTATTAAATTGTTTATACAAAATAATTGTTCTCTTTAAATTTTATTTTTTATATACTGCCTTATTTGTATTTTTTTGATAAAAAATTAAAATTAAATATTTGTTTATTTTAATTATATTCTAATTCTTTTAATGTTTTGGAAATTACAATAATTGAATAAAAATAAGAGAGTTGATAAATTTTTAGTAAAAGATTTGTAAAATGATACAACAAAACTAAACCATTCAAATTCGAAAAAAAATATTCAAATCTGAAACATTTTTTTAAACTTTAAAAATATTAATAAGTGGCAAAATAAATAAATTAATTAATTAAACAAAATAATTGATCAAAAAATTAGCTTACATCTTTGATTACATTAATAATTGAGAAAAAGGAAAAACAAACCAAACAAACAATTAATTAATAGACTAATTAACTTATTAGCTGAACACAGACTAATCAAAGATTAATTTTTGATTGTTACAATTTTTAAGCTAATTAATTGGTATATGTACTTGATTAAAGGTTTTTTTATATTTAATTGTTTGTTTAGAAAAGTATGAAAAAGAAAAAATATTTTGATTTGATAAATAATATTAAAAATATATTGATAAAAGATTTGATAGATTTTACTTAAAGGGACTCTCTAAGAAATTCTAAAAAAAATTCAGAATTATTTAAACAGAAACACCCATTTTAAGCTTAAATTTAAAAATGTATGAAAGTTACTTTTAAATTTAAAAAATATTTAAAATCAAAACAAAATTCATTTTTATTTGCAACATCCTTTTACATTCTTTTTGCTTGTCCCCACACGTCTCTCCTATCTTGTTTATTAGATGGAAATTCTTTTAATATTTCTCAAGAGCTTCCGCTTTAACTAAAAAGAAATCAACAAAAAATAAAACAAAAACTTTTGTTTTTAACAAGCAAATAAAAATTTGAAACACTCGAAAACACGCAAGAATTGCCCAATCACCAATCTTGGTAAAAAAACTTTTAGGCAAAAACAGAAAAACGGCAATAGACGTTTTGTCTCTATTTTGTTTGTATATTTGTTTTATTTTTATGTGTTTATTGTCCACTCATCTTTATAGTCTTGCGCGGAGATCTAAAAAGCAAAAAATGTGGGAAATAGAATTAGTAGGCAGTTGTCACTCTTTAGGCCGCTTTTTGCTTGAACAGAACCATTCAAAAGCATCGTCCATCCCCTCAGTAGCGTATCTTTCCTGATCATTTTAAAAGTCTCCAAATTTCTCTTGACCGACCAAGAAAGTAACATTGATTGTTAGAAAATAATTTTTGTTTCCTTTCGGCACTTGGGACTATTTAACAGACTTTTTCTTTTTTTTAAAACACTCAAAATACTTTTGTAATGAGCAGCGATTGTTCTTCTTTTTTTCTCTTTTGTACTTATTATCTAAATATTTTTGGACAATATACTTTCATATAAACCACAACTAAACTATTATATTCTTGTATATTTTTGTAAAAATTTTGATATTAATTGTTATAATTTTATAAGATTTTTTTAAATCAAAAAAACTTTAAGATTCATTTCTAATCTTAATATAATTATAATAATTTATTTTATTAATCAATCCAAAACTTTAAAACTGGGGAGAATGACAACATCAAAATTGTTATTTCTTGCAATTTTTGCCATTTGTGTTATCCCAAAACCATTGGTGACTTTACATTTACAAATTTTAAAATAAAACTAATTTCCTAATAGAATGCAAGTCTCTTTGCCTCTGAAAATTTGTTTCGCTCCAAACGCCAAATTTGCGGTCCCCCACCATTTGGAGGTCCAGGTGGCCCTCCTCCATTTGGAGGTCCTGGTGGCCCTCCTCCATTTGGAGGTCCTCCTCATCCAGGCCAATTTGGTGGCCCACCTCCAAATCCCTTGATGAATCCACAACAATGCCAGCCAATGAATTGTCAACCAATGCAATGTCAACCCTATTGTTGTACCCCAATGATGCCCCCACCCCCTCCTCCTCCACCTCCCCCACCACAACAAAATTTTGGTCCTCCACCTGAGCCATGTTGCCTTTGTTGTACTCCAAGTAATTTTTGAATTTCTATGCAGCATATTTTAATTTTAAAGTGGATATCTGTTGCCAACCCCCTCCTCCACCAATGCCACCCCAATCTCTCTCACAATTTGGACCACCTCCACCAATGCAAACAGCCTGTACATGCATAACAAGTAATAAAATTAACTGATTTGAGAATTGATAACTAATTTTTTCTAAATTTTTTAGTTACAGTTCAGCAAAAGCCACAGGATATTTGTTCATGCGCTGCTCCGCTTTCAGCTGGTGGCCAAGGAGCTTTTCCGCCTATGGGGATGGGTGGCGGAATGCCTCCACCAATGATGGGTGGTGGTGGTCATATGCCTCCGCCTCCATGTAATTCTAATAAGAGAAATTTTTCATAAAAATCAAGAAAATTTAAGTTATGCGTGATCATCAATTTGGTGGCATGTTTGGACCACAGATGCCGATGGGAGGTGGTATGGGTGGTGGTCCTCCACCGTCAATGAGACCAGGAGGAATGCCGCCAATGGGTGGTGGAATGGGTGGCCCACCACCACCTCATATGATGAGCTCGCCCTCTCCATTTGGTGGTCCAATGATGTCACCTCCAATGGGAGGAGGACTTCCTCCTCCAGGTGCTGGCAGAGGTCAACCAGTTTGTATCTGCACACCAAGTAGGCTTTTGGCAGATATTTGCTAAAATACAAAAAACATTCTTGTGTTATTATATCTCTTTAGTGCAACAAGATTGCTGCCCTCCTCCCCCTCCGCCACCCCCACCACCAATGGCACATGGCCCAGGGCTAGGACAGCAAATGCCTCCCCAAGGAACAGCATTAACAATTAGTTGCGTTTGTACACCAATGCGACAAGACGCATGTTGTCCCCCACAAACACCTCCACCACAATTTGCTCCACCACCACCGCCAATGCCGCGGCCGCCCCAAGGTGGAGGACAACCTGTTTGCATTTGCACACCTAGTATAAAATTTATTTTTAAAAACTCAGTATGTATGTACTTTTCAGTTCAACAAGATCCCTGCTGCCCACCACCTCAACAATTACAGGCAGCCCCAATGCTCCCACCACCACCATTTCAACAGCAACAGCCACCGATGGGTATGCCACCTTCTTCAATGACACCACAATTCCAGCCTCCAATGGGTGGAGGTCCGATGGGAGGAAGACCGCCATTTACTCCACCTCCATTTGGAGCGTGAGAAATTTTTTTTATTTTGATTTCATAATCTAGACTTAATACATTTAAATTGTTTTATGTTTTAGTGGCAATCCTCCATTTCCTCCTCCACCACCCGGTCCGCCCGGGGGAGGAATGATGATGGGTGGAGGCGGTGGACCGAACGCATGTGTTTGTATACCAGCTGGACATGGAGGAGGGCCTGGAATGGGAGGTCCTCCACCACCTGGAATGATGGGAGGGGGTCCAGGAATGATGCCTCCACAACCCTGTGCATGTACTGCAGCAGCTGCGAAACAAAAGACTGAAAGAAAGGTGAAAAAACAAAGACGGAGTGCTTTTCAATGGTTGAGGCCAGAAGATTCCAGTACTGATGAAAATTTATAATTAGACAATAAAAAAATTAAAAATATTTGAAAATTTCCATTTTGTTTTTTTGCTTCTCATTATTTTAATAATGCCCCCCCCCCCCCCAATTATGTTGTAATATACTAAAGCTTTTTTAAATAAAGGAAAATATGTACGAATTATGTATTTTTATAAGTCCTTAATTAAATCTAATTAATTAAATCCTTGGAATCAAAATAGAGAGAGAGGATTACCGAGGATTTTTTTGGTTCCATTCTTTGGCTCAGTTTCGGGTATCGGAAGAACTATACAGAGAATTCTCCTGGAACAGGGATCCAAAGGTACATTTCTAAGACGCCATCTGCCCATTTTACGTAATTTTATCACGGTAGTTGAACATATTAAAAAAGTAAAAGCCTTAAAAATTAAAAATTTATACAAAAAACTATTTACCTAATAGCAATAGGATTCAAAACTTCGACAAGTTAGAATTCAAATACGTGTAGCACACAGTATAAAATTCCAAATTTAAATTTATTAAATCTTCCCAAAAAATTTTCTTCTTTTAAAGATTTTTAAAGAATTCTTCCTTTTAAAGAATTTTTTCCAATAAAAAATTTTCCTAGTAATAATTCCCAAAAAGAAAAACAAATTTTATTTTTAATATTTTTATTTAATTTTTATTTTTAAATTTCAAAACTGACAAAAAAAATAAGGGGCAGCAAAAACTTAAAAAGGGGGGAGGCGGGGTTTTAAAAAGAAAAGCCAAAATTGAACGGCTCACAAATTTTTTCTCTAGAGAGGACAAAGCTTTAGTGCATGTATTAGCTCTAGCTAGAAACGTGGGCGTCAAGAGAGAAAACAATTATTTTTTTCTTTCTTTCGCTACTAATCGAAAACAAATTTCGATCAGCCAGTTAGCAAAAAATCCATTTTTTGCACCTTTTAATCCAAACAAGCCGTTAGCTGGTAAGCCAGCTAACGATAAATATTTTTATCAAAATATAACTTTTTCATTGAAAAAGTAAAAAACACAACATGTGTTCATTCAAAAATTGACCAAAATTTGGCCATTTAATGAGCCGTTCACGGTTTCTCGTTAAAACGATTAAACTTATACATGCATGGCTTAATTGCCTTGTTATTGTTTAATTTGAACCTTATGATAATAAGGTTCAAAGTTTTTCTTTTTATTTTATTTTCCTTTAAAATTTATTACTTTGCACTTTCCATTTTTATTTAATTTTATTTAATATTTTATTTAAATATTTTTGGAAATTTTGGAAAAAAATAAAATTTAATGAAGAGTATGTATAAAACATACTTTTACTTATTTTTTAATTTGTTAGGGACAGAAGTCCCGTCAGCCTCCCCGCCCGAAAAAAGAGTCTTAGAAATAATGAAGGGTCGATATAAAATATTAAATTTCAAAATAAAATCACCAACTCTAATATTAAAAATTTTAAAAGGGAAAAATAAAATGGAAAATTTTAATTAAAGGGGCTTATCAGAGTTGGCTTACAATTAAAAAAAAACTTTACTCATTTTTTTTTAAATTTTTCCTAAAAAAAAATAAACTTTTTAAATTTTTCTTTAATTTTCCCTTCTATTCTCCCTCTTCAACACAAATTTCTTTCATTTCTTCAGCCACCTCCACTTCTTCCCACTGCAAGTCCACCACCACCACTTCCACTATTTCCTTTCCTTTACTACTATTAACTTCTTTCTTTATCTTCCTTTCATCCTTCTTTTTCTCAACCACATCTTTCTTTTTATTTTCTTCCTTTCCTTCTTCCTTTTTAATTTTTTCCTTTTCCTTTTTAATTTTTTCTTCTTCCTTTTTAATTTCTTCTTCGTACTTTTTAATTTTTTCTTCATCCTCCTCATCTCCCCAATCTACTTCTTCATCCCATCCTATAACTTCCTTCTCTTCTTCCCATTTTTCCTCCACATCATAACATCTTTCTCCTCTTCCAATTCCTTCCTCATCATCAAATATCGACATCTTTAAAAATGAAAATTATTTTGTATTTTTATATTTTGATATTTATTTATTTTATTTTCTCAAAATATAAGAATATAATAAAAAAGAATATTTAGATTTGATTATTAAAATTTCTATATATATTTATATAAAATATTCCTTTAAAAATATTTTAGTATTATTTTTTCAAAATATATATAAATTTGTTTATTCAAATTATTAAATATTTTTTGTATTTTTAATTTTTATTATTTTTTTTTGTTTTTATTTTTTTTCTTTTCTCTTTCTCTCTTATTTATTTGCGCCCTCTAATCATCGAGGGAGCAATGACACTTTCCGTGCCAAGAGTTCGAATTGTTTCATTCGAAGCTCTGCGCGGAAAGTAGTTAATTCGCTGCCTGCGGGGTGCGATAGAAGACAATTCAACCTCCTCTTGTGAGACTCGGTTTCTTCGAGTTTCTCTTTTGGGAGGAGGATTCTCAGTCTGTCTTCTTCCTAAGAGCGACATTATAGTCGTTCTTACAGGCAAGAGAAAATAGACTGTCAAAAGTGGGACTCCAATGTCCCTTAAAAATAAAAAGGTGGAGAAAAGACAGCTACAAATCATCCACCAGTCTACAAAAAGCTTCCATTTGCTCCAAAGCCAAGTTTTAATTGTGCCTTCCAGTCCTCCTGGCATGGCACCAAGAGCAATTGCTCTACTTGATTCCACGGTATTAACCGAGGATTTCCAAGTTTCATATTGGGACAGTTCATTAACATGAACAAAAAGTGGCTCCTCTGTGGTATTCCTGAGTACCCACTCATGGAATACTATAGGCGATACACTCATATCCGGAGCTGTAACATTATCTTGGAAGATATGTAGCTTCGACTGTTCCACTTTATCCCAAAGGCCTGTTTGAGTGTTAACCCGAATCCATTGATTCGGGCCTATATTCAAATAACGCAAACGATATCGCTCACAATCTGCAGGAAGAGAAGACTCCGACAAAATACGCAGCTCGGGGTCTAAAAATCCGACTTGAGTCCGGTTATGCAGATTTACTTCAACCGGAATATATTTATAACATCTATCAACCGGTCGAAATTTAATGCTGCTCCAATCGATAGGAGCACATGAAAATACTTCTGCCGTATCCTCATTTAACCATGTAGCAACGAGAGCTTTCTTTTGAAACGCCTGTCGGACATGATAAGTTGGATTATCATGTCTTACAATTTGCTGTCGGCATTTTTCCTCCATAATTTTATCATAAAATTCCTTTAGGGCAATTTCAGTGGCTGTTAATTCAGCCGCAAGTTGTTCCTCGTCGACAGAACGCTTCTGCCTTGAGGTAAACATTTTAATAAATTCTTTCTCGTCAATGGCAAATCCTTGATCAGATTTTCTAACAGATCGACCATTACAAGCAATTTCTCGAGAAGCTTCATAATTGAACGAGAGCGCAATTTCCTTTGTATTGGAAATCCAAACAATTCTTTCATTTGCTTGGCTATAATCTCCTTCCCACCTTCCCAAATATTCATAGAAGCAACTTTTACAATTTCTCGTTTCACAATTAGATTCCCAAACGAGACTTGAATTATCAGGTAGCTGGCAAAAGTCAGTCATGAAATGGCACTTTTTAATTTCAAAAAGTGGAGAAACCATTTCTAGAGTTTGGGGATTATAATGGAGTGTGGTTGGTTGTAACATACAGTTAACAACCTCTGAAGATTTTTCTCCCCAGAAAAAGGAGGAAAATCTCCCTGGGAAGTCTATATTTAAAACTTCCTCTGTTTTCCACATTCCATCTTTCTTTTCCATATTCTTTTTATTTAGAGGGCATATTTTATTTTCCCTCATTTTTAAACAATCTTCCTTTGAAATAGGAAGTAAATTTTGTTTCAACCGAAGAAATTTATCACCCAAAAAATTGGTGTAATAAGTTTCCTTGGTATATTTCGCGGAACAAATTAATCCCTCAACGGGTTCAGGGTGTGTAATTTGGGAATAAGTTTCGAAACCGAAATTTTTCCATTTTCGAAATTTATCCCTATTGCAAAATGTGGCTTCCTCTTTAGAAGGGAATTTCCACAGAGCGCTTGATTGCGTCGCGCACCAAAATACGGGTTCCCCATTTTTTATTTCATTTATTATATTTTTTCTTCTAAATCTATCTATTTCTTGATGTTGCTCTTTATAAGTTTGCAACATTTGTGGGGAAGCACGTACCTTATAAACTGTTTTGCTGCCTGAAGGTGTTCGAACTCGCGATCTGGTCACTTCTTGAGTTGTTAATCCAAAAAAGCAGCAAATAATTAATAGAATAAGAGCCAGTGTTCCCAAATTTTTTAATAATGAGCCACTTTGTCTTGAAGTTGACTGTGTTGAAGTAGAAGGTTGTTGTTGTTCCAAATTATTTGCAGAGCCAGAAGTAGAAGGTGCTCTTTGTTGAATTCGTTGCAACAATTCCTTCAGTCGTTCCTCCAAAGGTGGACGAACTTGTGGTTGCGCCGAAATGGGAAGCATTTCCTGTTGTTGAATTATTTGTTGCTGTTGAGGTTGTTGTGGTGGAAGCGGTTGTTTCAAAATATTTTTAGGAGCAGCTGGCTTTACTTTTTGAGCCATCGGTCCAGGTTCTTCATCAGAATCTTCATCATTATATTTTTCTCCCAAAATTTTCCCTTTAGCCTTCTTTAAATTCTTAAATTTGCCATTATAATACAAATATCCAGTATTATAAGATTCTGCCAAATTTAGGAATTGCTCTTCATATTTCTTCCTTTCCAAATAAATTTTATTTTCATTATGAATTAGAGTAATTTTTATTGGGACACCAGCTCTTCTCCAGAATTTTAAAGACCTATCAATTGAGGCCATTATTACATCATCGGGTTTCACAACTATGAAAAGGTCCGTTGTTTTGATTCCAAAATAAATAATGGTGTGTAGATCAGTTTCACCATCAAAATAGACCAGACGACAATCCCCAGGATTGTCACACCAATTAACTACAGATTGAATTGAAGCGTCAGCCGCAATGATAAAAGGCGCTTCATACAATCGAAG